GTGTCGTCTTATTTCTGGGTTCTCTATTCTCTCCCTATTGCTTGTTTTTGTCAGGTTTGTCAAAGATCAGACAGTTGTAGGTGTGTGGTCTTATTTCAGGGTTCTCTATTCTGTTCCATTGGTCCAGTGTCTTTTTGTACCAATACCATGCTGTTTTGGTTACTGTAGCCCTATAGTACAGTTTGAAGTCAAGTAGCAGGATGCCTCCAGCTTTGTTTTTTTCCTTAGGACCACGTTGGCTATTGAAATCCCTTTATTTTTGAATGAGCATACAAATGACAAAGAATTCAAACAAGGCAAAAATGTAAAAAGGGAGTAAAAAAATAAAATATACTTCAAATTTAACTACCCAAGAGTAATCAATATTAACATTGTTTATAAAACATTCCATCATCTTTCAATGACTATTATGTAGCTAGAGGAATGTATGGATGTTTAAATGAGTGAAAGACATAGCTATATAAACAATTAGGATAATTTTCTGAAGCTAATATATAGTAGCATTTATTTGCACTTAAACAGAAGAAAAGAGAACTGAGTAAAAGAGCCTATTGACTTTGAAATAACTTTTTTATTACAAGAGATATATGCTGAAATCCCTCTAAATTTTAAAAAATAGGAAAATCATTAATAGGTTACAGTCAAATGTTAACTATATTTTAAACCTTAGACACGATTGGTTGAATCTTGCTATGAAAGATAAGGATATTTGCACTATTACCTTTCTTCCCACCTACCCTCTCCTTCAAATTTGTTTATTATATGATTTTTCAGAAAAAAAAACTGATAAAACAATATCCAGTCCTCAAATTAGTGCTTATTTCAAACTTGTTGCAGAGATGTAGGAAGAAACAAAAAGCCCAGACTGTGTCAGATCTGAAACTTGTACAGAAAAACAATAGGGGAAGGAAGACTAGAGACAACATATAGTCTTTGTTGGAATACTCTGCTCTTCTGAAATTTTATTAATGTCCAGTGCTAGAATTTTTCTTCCTAGATAAGGGTTTAGCTCATGATTATGTGGGGAGTGTCATCAAGTTTAAGATTAGTTTTTCAATTCAGTGTACATTCATTTCTAGAACCTTCATCTTGAATGTGATCAGCCCTCCATTGCATGTTTCTTATAGAAGCTGCTTACAATAAGAAAAAAATATGGAGTCTCTTTTACTTTGTATCTCTGTAAATTTAGAGGTATTAATGATAATTTGTAAGATTTCGAGAATTCACCATTATGACCTCTGTGGAGTCCAGAGTAGCATTAGGAGCCTCACAATGATGAATTATGAGTCTCAAAGATCTTTTATTTCTGTCCTTAACCATCCAAGAGACTTAGGAAGCTCTGTCAGTTGCTTATTTGGTTGTTGCTTGTGGAAGTTTTTCCTCTAGTTTTTACTCTTTTATGTTGATTTTATGAGATATTAGGAGGGGGATTTTTGTGATACACCTTTATTCTACTGAAGATGAATGGAATGGAATACTAGAAATGCAAGGCAATAATTTTTTAAAGAAATATCCTCCACATAAGGAAAAGTTAATCACTAAAATAAACAATGTCCTCAGCCTCACTTTTGCAACAGATGCAGAGGGATTTTTCATAAGTTGCTTTCATGAAAAAATCTTCAATGACCCCTTATTTGGTATAGGCAGCTGAATATTAAAGTTTTCTCAGAATACAGTGGATCTAACAGGTACAGAAACAAATATGGCAAGATAAATTGCTTTTTAGTAAGCTCAGATAAATTACTAAGTTAAGATAAATTTAATAAATTGGTACAGTAAATAGCTAAGATAAACTGCTTTTTTAACATGATAGAAAAAAAACACTCAGTATCTAATGTGGCACATAGTTCAGTTTAATATGTATTCATACATCACCTTGAGGTATCTTTCTTAAAATGCAGCTTCTGATTCAGTAGATCTTGGATGGAACTTCGAATTGTGTATTTCTAATTCCATGACACCACTGGTGTCAGTTCTCAGATCACACTTCCAGTAACAAGATTCTAGAAAACTATAGACAAAGAGCTCCTCTACTTGACTGAATCCTTGAGACTAGAGACACTGCCTTATTTATCTTTGCATTGCTGTTCTCTAAGGAAGTACCTGAATAAAAGTTTGCCCTGAAATATTTTCTTGTTAAATGAATTAATGAATCAGATGCATGACAACTATGGCCCTGGAAAACTGGAATTCTATACTGGTGGGTGAGGAAGAATTCTTTTGTTTTGAAAAACAAGTGACTGAATGATAGGATTTCTATTTTGTCTTAAAATCTAAAAGCCTTAATAAAACTTTTGCTCACATGAAATCTGCCATACATAACATTAGCTACTTTGGCCAACAAAATATTACCTCCCAAATGCTTGAATAGATTCTTAACTGCTCTCAAGATAACAAATGTTATTCAAGTGAAACAAATCTATACATTAAGTGTTACCAGTTATCCATCCTGGAAATAGAAAAACTTTAGTAATATTACTGTGGTAAAACTGATTTTTGTTTGTTTGTTTTGAGATGGAGTCTTGCTTTGTCGCCCAGGCTAGAGTGCAGTGGCACATTCTCGGCTCACCGCAACCTCCGCCTCCCTGGTTCAAGCGATTCTCTTGCCTCAGCCTCCCGAGTAGCTGAGATTACAGGCACCTGCCACCGTGCCTGGCTAATTTTTGTATTTTTAGTAGAGACGGGGTTTCACCATCTTGGCCTGGCTAGCCTCGAATTCCTGACCTCGTGGTCCACCCACCTCGGCCTCCTAAAGTGCTGGGATTACAGGCGTGAGCCACCGCGCCCGGCCAAAAACTGATTTTAAACTGTGTGAAATCTTTGTGGGCCTACTCAACTATCTGTGAAATTTACCCTTGAGTAATTGAACAGATTGTCTTCTTAGACTAGTAGTTTTCAGTTGCTGGCTACATTTTAGAATTACCTGGGAAGCTTTTAAAAATCCCAGCGCCCAAGCTATACCAAAGAGGTGAGGCCCAAATATTTTTTAAAGCTCCACAGTTAATTCCATTGTGCACCCAAGGTTGAGAACCATTACTTGATTATTAGCTCTTTGAAATCTGAGTCAGTGTTCCTCTTATTTTTAACTTTTAACACTTAATACATGGTAGATACTTCATAAATTTTTACTTAGTCAACAGATGAATTATCTTATAAGGAAGTATTACCTGAGGCAAAACAGGAGCATTCTTCAGTATAAAGGGACCATTTTTACTATCTTTATTAGCATCTTAAAATTTGAAAGTTTGAATACCCTCTTAATATTAATACTGAAAGTTGGTATTTGATATAAACATTTTGGTGTTTAGATATTTTGTTGATGCAACTTAGATTTCATATCACTTTTTATCAAGATCTGATATAAATGGATTGCGATCAGAGGTGAGAAAACTGTGGCACAGGCATTTCACTTCCATAATGGAAGTACTTAGGAATGTTACAAAGAGATCTAAGGTGTTCTAGGATACATCAGTCAGAAAACAAAGACAGTTAATCTACACATTGCTGAGTTGTGGTATCAACCGTGGTTTTGTTTTTTGTTTATTGTTTTCCTGAGACAGAGTCTCACTCTGTCACCTAGGCTGGAGTTCAGTGACACGATCTCAGCTCACTGCAGCCTCCGCCTCCCAGGTTCAAGTGATTCTCTTGCCTCAATCTCCTGAGTAGCTGGACGTACAGGTGTACTCCACCATGCCTGGCCAATTTTTGTGTTTTTAGTAGAGACGGGGTTTTGCCATGTTGGCCAGGCTGATCTCGAACTCCTGACCTTACGTGATCCACCCGCCTCGGCCTCCCAAAGTGCTGGGATTACAGGCACTGCTCCCGGCTGTTTTTTTTTTATATACTGGAAAGAATAGAGAGCTATTTATAAGAGTGAGTATTTAAGCTTTTCTACTTTTTAAAATGAAGCACAGACAATTGAAGTTTTAGCTTTGGTTTATGAAACCACTTTATAAGCACCTTTATTATAGTAATCATTGATTTTTGAGGGGCTTTCTCAGAACAAAATTATAACTATATCAGGGATAAAAATTCTTTAGATGGGCTCTCAGTTATCTACAATTTATGTTTTTAAAAAATAGTTTGTTGCCATTCATTAATCATTGCACAGAAAAGTTTCCTTTATTTAGAGCTCTGAGCTCTGCATTTCTATATACCAGAATAAAACACAGATCTGCAAAGAAAGGGGAAAAAATCATTTTTTAGGTCTTGGATTTATTCTAAATAATCATCCTACATTTTGTGTCACTGATGAATTTGAGAACTGAGAGCACTGTATTGTACATCTCAGTATCAGCCTGCTATTTGTATTTCACACGAGTTATTGGCAATTAAATGATGAATTATATTTTTAAATTTTGACTCTGAATTGTAAAAACATGATGAAACAATATAATACCAATGCAAGTATATGATTATAATTTAATGAGCACTTAATTGCCCTTCTTAGCAAATGGCTAAAATGTAGGATCGGTTGATAGAATTAGCAAGAATAGGAAAAGTCAGCAGATGGAGATCCTAGTTCACTTTGTTACAAACGAGGTGTGTAACTTTGTGAATTATTTAAGCACATTGTACTTCAGTTGCTCATTAGAAAATAAAGAGGCACATCTGCTAAAGACCCTGCCAGCTCCAGAATTTTATGATATGTAATTCTAATCTCTGTAACTGTCATAGTAGTGTCTTTTGAATGGCTAAAAAGAACTTCAGATAAGCCATTAATTATAAGCTCTTTATTTACGGTTTTTCTTATGTTTTATTTACTTTCAAGAATTTGATACTTGCATCCTCATTTTCTATAATTAATAAAATAAGTACTCAAAATTTCAGTGCCTTTTGATCAAGAGTGAAACTGTTCCATGAATTGTGCTTAAAAGTTTTCTTACTGGCTGTTGAAAAGAATCTGTTTCCTCGCTGAATACCAAGTGTCCGAGGACTGGGATGTTTTGAGCAAGCAGGCAAGTTCTTCTGCACATGACTATACTATTGTTTTCTTTCAGGAAACCCTGATAGATTGGTGTGATGAAAAGGAACTTAATTTGATATTAACAACTGGAGGAACAGGGTTTGCACCACGAGATGTCACTCCAGAGGTAAGATGTACATGCCTTTTCATATTCAAGGATTAAACTAATCATGTTTTTTTAAATCCTTTTTACTATATTTATATTATTTTTATAACTTTGCTAGGCATAACAAATAACTTGTAGTTCTAATAATGTGAAAATTCTGCTGTGGATGAATTGTGAAAAATGTTTCTTGACTTTTTTTCTTTGGGCTTAAACTAGAAATGATACAATATGAGGAAGATTAAACTGATCCAGAGGTAATCTGTCATTTGCTTGATGTCAGCCTAATTTTAGGCACATTTCCAAAGGAAGTGATAGCAGAATTCTGATGGTTAGCATGGCATCTGGTCTGATGTGCTTTGTCAATATAATTCTTTTCTTGAGGTACCCTTGTCATTTGTCTAAAATTACAGTAAGATGACTGCAATAGAATATACTGATTTTACAGTACTTTTGTTGAAAAGGGATATATTTTCCACAATTCTAAATGTGAACAGCATTTAAATGCAGAATTTAATGAGCCCAAAAGTAGAATTAATATCTAGGCTGAAGAACACATGAATCATCTTCAACTTGTTTATATATAGAAAGAAAAATTAGGGAAAGAATGAAGAATAAGCACTATTAACTAATATGGGAGGGGAGTGTATTTTTTCTTTAAGGAAGCCATAAACCACAGTTGTCACCTCAGAGCCATACATAAAATTATATTACCAATTGTGACAGTTTCCTTTACGTCCCCAAACCCCCAACCAAATGTGTTTCTTGGATCAATTTCAACTTAATATTTACTATGTCTTTCTATTTCAAATCAGTACACTATTGTATCTATTACCTTATTAACATACCACAAGGTACTTTTGCTCTGCATCTATTAAATAATTACTGGCCTTCTTATAATAGTACAATGGTTTTCAAACTTTATCCTGCATCAAAATCAACTAGAGGACTTACTAAAACACAAATTGCTTGACCCCCCACCCCTAGAGTTTCTGATTCAGTAAAGCTGCAATGGATCTTGAGAATCTGTATTTCTAACAAGGCCCCAGGTGATGTAGATGTTGTTGTTGGACCATAGACCATACTTTCAGACTTTGAGAACTGCTGCTGTACTATATGAAAATGCATTTTTAAGAAGTATTGTTTTTCTATTCCTCTATATAAAAACCATGGTACATAAACTTTTGATATTATTATAATTAGGGTTTTAAATAAAATAGTTTTGGCTTTTAAAACAATCAAAATCAAGCTGTATTGAGAGGTTAACTTCAACTGCATAAATGAAGTCATCCTTACACAATTTATTTAGCTTCTGGCTTCTATAGTTAATGGTTCTTTGGCCAAGTTTTACATTTCTTTTATGCTATGACTAACTGAAAAAGTACAATTGGGAAGGAAGCCATCTCCTGCAGAGGTGTGCTTATCTTTTGTTTCTTTGTGAGAACATTGACTACTTATGTTAAGATATGGATTTTTGGAATTTGGGTGCTGTCTTAAGTGTTTTAGTAAATCACTTTGGATTTACATATGCCTATTTTTTGTGTGATGGTTTGATATTTTCATATTTTTCCATAACAGAAAAATAGAAAAAATTTCACCAGAAAATTCATTCATAACCAAATAACAGTATTATTTTTAATTCCTTGGATAATTCATTGTGGGGAAATAATTTACATCACAAAATGTTTTATATCCTATGAGGCTTCCAGTTAATACAAAATGCTATGCTGAAAATTCAAACCTTTGAATTTTGGCTCTGCTATTTATCAACAAGGTGACCATAGATGGAGTGTTTTTACTCACACTTCTGATGCTATTTGGGTTTTTTCACTCGAACCAGCCAATTCTTCAACTTCAACAGATATCAGATGTCCTTCTTTTTATTTCAATTAAGTTGTGACACTACCTACCAGGAATTAGTACTAGACTCCGTAGATTTAAGGGCTCAGTCCACAAGATTACCTTCACGTCACATGCCAGTGGCAAGTACCAGATCCCCAGGCTACTCAAAATTCTGTCCTACGTGACTACAAAGTCCGCTGGTTCCCATAACCCCCCATTTTCAGATTCACTAATTTGCTAGAATAGGTCCAAAAACTCCTGGAAACACTTTACTTATGCTTACCAGTTTACTATGAAGGATACAATTTAGGAATAGCCAAATGCAAGAGATGCACAGGGCAAGGTATAGGGGCAAGGAGGTTCCACCCCCTCTCAGTATTTAGAACCCCTCCAGCACCTTGATGAGTTCATCACTCTGGAAGCTCTCTGAATCCCATTGTTCAAGAGATTTTATAGAGCCCAATCTCCAACCGCACCCCTCAGTGGGTGGAACTGAAAATTCCAATGTTCTAACAACTTAGACTTTCCAATGACCAGACCAGCCCCATCCTGAGGCTATCTAGGCAGGCACCCTAAGTAATCTCATTAGCATAAACTCAGGTGTGATCTGAAGAGGTTTGGGCCTGGCACAGGGGCTCATGCCTGTAATCCCAGCACTTTGAGAGGCCCAGGCAGGTGGATCAGTTGAGGCCAAGAGTTCAAGACAAGCCTGACCAACAAAGTGAAGACCACGTCTTTACTCAAAATACAAAGAATTAGCCAGGTGTGGTGGCACACACCTGTAATCCCAGCTACTCGGGTAGCTGAGGCATGAGAATCACTTGAACCTGAGAGTAGAGGTTGTGGCGAGCAGAGGTCACACCATTGCACTCCAGCCTGGGTGACAGAGAGAGATCCTGTCTCAAAAAAAACAGGGAGGCAGGAGGGGGGTGCAAAGGGTTTGTTAGGAATAACAAAAGACACTCTCTACTCCTATCACTCAGGAAATTCCCAAGGGTTTTATGAGTTCTATAGTAAGTCAGGAATCAAGAACAAAGACCAAATGTATTTTTCTCCTATACCTCTATTGAGACGAGTCATTTAACCACTCTGTGCCTTAGTTTTCTATAAAGCAAGGGAAATAAAAGCACCTATTTACCAAGGTGGCTGTGACTGTTCAATGAGAACTATTCCTGGTATTTTATGTAAGAGTTAATTTATAAGAGTCAAATTTTTTTATTTGTTGCGATGTAACTTTTGTAACCACCAAATGGACACATTTGATAGTTTTTCTTTTTTGTATGTAATACCAAATAGACAACTATAGCCTTTTACTTGATTTAAGGTATGTCCATGAAATCTTTAGAATCTTGTTAACTTATTTCTTCATTTTGATAGGGTAAGCTTCATATTTGATCTCTTCCATGTCTATATTATATAAATCACAAATCTTAAATTTCTGCTGTTCTAGTATCTGGGTTTTTTTTCTTTTCTTTTTTGGTACTACTAGTTGACAAGTGTCTGTTTCCATGGTATTGTATATTTCATTATTCAGAAATTGAGCAGTATTTTATTCTTAAAGTTTTTCAGTTATTTGAAAACTATTGAGGTGCTCTTACATTCATATATACCTATAGCAGCTACATAGGTAAAATTATATTAGGGGTTTCTTAAATGGATTTAAAATATACATAAATATGTCTTCTCTAATATCTGTTTTTGAAAAGAAGCAATTTACCTGATTGTGAATAACTTGATCTTTAATAGGTTCACTTCATATTTTATATGTGTATATAAATACATATGATATGAATATGGCAAAAGTTTGTAGCACTCATGGGCTATTAAATAATACCAATAAAATAAATAATAAATAAGCAAACATAAAATCAATATAGGCCCACTAAAAAGTAATTCTACTAATTTCCCTTTTACTTTACACCCTAGAGTAGTTGCAGTTCTTATAATATCTAACATATAATATTGACGTATCAGATAGGAATTTAGAAGTATAATTCTGTACCTGAATTATATAGTAGTTTGTCTGTTTTGATAGTTGGATCTAAAGAGAAGCAGCTGTTTCTAGACACATTTACCTATATTGTATACATCAGGATTGCAAATATTTTTTAATGAGGTCAGAAGTTATTGGTAGAAAGCACAAATACTAATTTGATAAAAGTAAAACAATGTAAAACTTCTCCCTTAAAAATCCTAATGTTTTATAGTCAATAATTGTCAGTAATTATCTTAATCTGTAAAGCACAAAGGAAAATTGTTTGTAGGATGTGTGTGTTGTAAGAAAAAAAAATGAAGGATGAAAATGATGAATATGATGAATGAAAAAAAAAATCCAAAGATTTTGTCAATGGGTATGAGCTCTAGATAAAATGAAAAATTTAATCAACAGATTTCCCTCTACGTCTATTAAAAATGAGAATAGAATATCAAGTTTAGTAAAGTTTATCTTCTTTATTACATATTTTATAGGAATAGGGCTATCAGAATTGATTTTCCTAAATTATGAATTTAGTATTTTTAGGCCCTGCGTCATAGAATATGGTTCATCTGATACTTGCATGCCTTCTAGCCTTCTGCCTGCCTGTAAATATGAGATGCTATCAAAACTTACATATAAAATCATGACAGTTCTCACTCATCAACTTTTTAGAATTTTGTTTTGATAATAAAAAATGGTTTTTAATAATAGATTGCTTGCTTTTTTTCCTTTTTTTTTTTTTTTTT